CCCCCCATCCCCATGTAGCTCTGTACCCCACTCCCATTCAGCCCGTGAGTCAGTGCTGTCACCCCACTAGCTCCTGTTCCCCCCACTAGACCTTCTGAACCCTAATCTATGTGACCGCCCGCAGCCTGTGTGCCCTGTGCTGTCCCCCTCCCAATATCCCATGCCTCCTCACCTGGCCCCGCGGGCAGGGTGCTGTGAGGAATGCAGCCTCTCAGCCTCCCTCTCTGCGGCTGGCTGCTCCACCCCTGAGCCAGCTGCCCTCTCTTCTGGGTCCACAACAGTCTCTGGTGCATAGAAGGTGTAATTGCAGCGCCTCCCAGGCAGAATCTATAGTTCTGTGGGGGACATGAATTCTGCGCATGCGCAGTGGTGCAGAATTCCCCCAGGAGTACCCAACTCACTCTGGGCCTCGCCCAGCTGGGCTGGTAGGCAGAGCCCTAGATTCCCCGTCCCCTGCACAGCCCAGCTCCCCACCCTGCGTTTGGGGCCTGAGGCTGAGACTTGCTCACCCTGCCTGCAGCTGCACTTCATCCAGCACTACCTGTGGGAGGACTCGGGGCGGTGCGGGGACACCACGCACGAGGAGCAGGCCCGCATTGAGGAGGAGATGCTCACTGAGATCAGCCGGTGAGTGAATGACCATGGGCGGCAAGGGGAGATCCCCACCCCCGTTTCCCCCACACGGAGCGGGTGCAGGGGGACCCCCACTCTGCTGCCCTCCCCAAGGACAGATCTTCTCTTTAAAGAGCCCTCCAGCGCAGTCAGGCATCTGTTGCAGGCTCCTTCTCCCAGCCTTGCTGCACAGCCTGGGGGTGCCTGAGGGGCTCTGGAAGGGAGCCAGCAGGACTGGGGGGGGCTGTGCAGGCTTGGGGTGGAGTCTGGGACATGGCACAGTGGGGGGGTCTCTCCCAGCATCTCCCCAACGGCTGCTCTCTCCCCTCAGGTTTGCTCTGGCCTCTCACTTCTTTTGGGGTCTCTGGTCCATCCTGCAGGCGAAGATCTCCACCATTGAGTTCGGCTACCTGGTGAGCATGGGGCATGGGCGACTCTGCCCCTTGGCTCCCACGGGGCACTGCCCAGGGCTGCCTGCTGAGACGGGGACAGGTCAGGGGGGCCCAGCCTGGTTCAGCGTCCTGAGGGGCGTCTGTCCTAAGCTCTCCTTTGCTGAGCACTGTGGGTACCCGCTGCCTCCCTGTGCCAGGCCCTCAGCGTGGCTGCACGTGGGTCCTTGTGTTCTGGCTCTGGCCCTGCGGCTGGGGGGCTGCGCGGGGTGACTGGGCTCCCCTGCCCCCATGGCTGGGGGGCTGCGCGGGGTGACTGGGCTCCCCTGCCCCCGTGGCTGGGGGGGCTGCGTGGGGTCCCTGTTCTGGCCTGATGCTCTCTCCCTGCGCAGGATTACGCGCAGTGCCGTTTCGAGGCCTACTTCCAGCAGAAGGCGCAGTGCCCGTGACCAGCCCGGCTTTGCCTGCCCCGCGCTCGCCTGCCTCCTGCATCAGCCCCCCGGGCTCGCTGGGCTGCAGACGGAGCAGCGGAGTGGCCCCTCCCCGCCAAAGGGACAGCAGCTGGCAAGGACCCCAAGGGACCAACGCCCCCAGACCAGCCTCCCTTGCCTCCTGGGGTGGGGGGCTGCCCTGGCTGGCCAGTGAGTGGGGGTGGGGTCTGGGGGTCTGGGCGGGAAACGGTTAATGTTCCGGTGTGGGGAGTGAATGCAGGGGCTGCCCTCCCCCAATGGGTGTGAGGATCTCCACCCCCTCCAGGGGGGCTGTGTGGGGCTGGCTCTCCCCACTGCCCAGTGTCGGATGTCTCTGTGTGTCCCGCTGAGCAGGGCGGCTGCAGCCTCGGCCCCTCCCTGGGGCAGGAGGGGCCCGGCTCCCCTGGTTCCCTGCGAGTGCACTGGGGGCTGCGCACTGGGGGCTGCGCGCTGGGAGCTGAATGTGCCACACGTGCGTCTGCCTCTGTCCGTGTCTCTGCCTCCCCTGGCCTGCGGCGCTGCCCAGCTCTGCCACCCCAGTGCCCTTCCTGCTGCCGACGTGACCTGGGATCCCCTGGGGCTCAGCGAGCGTGGGCTGCAGGGGGATACCTGCATGCTCTGCCCCTGCCCCCTGCCGGGCCCCCTCCTGCTGGCCCCTTTTCTGGAGAAGCAGGGGACGTTTGTAGGGCTGCTGTCCCTGCAGGCAGTGCTGGCCTGGCTCCAGCGCCTCTCACGCTGCTGGGAATGGGGGTGGGCTCTAGCGGGGTGTCCCCTGCTCCGGCTGGGGGAGTGGGTGGGGGCCGCCTCCCACAGCCCTGCCCCAAAGCTCCTCCCTGCCTGGGCCCCGTGGCCGGGGCTCTGTACTTGCTTTCCCTGCCAGTCCCCAGAGCCTGCTGCTGCCGCCCCCTCGGAGCCGGGCCCCTGGCAGGGCCCTCCACTGCCTAGCAATGGACTGTGAACTCAGACCAATAAATGCCTGGCACTGTCTGCCTGTGTCCGTCTGTCTGGCCGTCCCTCCTCCTGCCCTGGGCACTCAGCGTCCTGGGGGCCGGCCGCCAGGCCCAGCGTCTGCCCTGGGGAGGTCCTTGCCAGGCTGCAGAGCTGCGTGGGTCCCCAGGGCAGTGGGCGCCGAGGCCTGATCTGTGTGCAGTGGGGGGGTTCAGGCCTGCACATGGGCACTGACGCTGGCAGCAGGAGCGGAGGCTGGCTTGGGAGAGGCACAGCGCGGCCTAGCCCTAATGCCCCAGCCCCCTGGCTCCGGCAGCGTGGAAGAGGGGAGCGTGTTTGGAGCCGTCACGGCCCCGCCAGGCGTGGGGCTCTGCTGCTGGGCCCCCGGCCGTGCTGGTGCTCCCCGGCTACCAGCCGGAGCGGCGTGTCCGCGATCCGCGGCGGTGCCCGCTCCTGCCTGGGGCAGGCTCCGCAGCCATGTCGTGCTGTCCTCCCAAGCCTCGCCCTGCTGCTCCAGGCTGCATCTGTGACAGGAAAGCCAAAGGCTGGGGTGCCATCCAGTGCCCGCTCTGCCTGGCGCCGTTCCCTCCCCTGGGGCTCTGCCTGGCGCCAGTGCCTAGCCTGCAGGAGCCGCTTGTGGAGCCTGGGCGCTCCCCTTCCTGTGCTGCTCCGCTTGGCCAGGGGCCCTGCTGCCTCCGCGCTGCATGGGGCGCAGGCGGGCTCAGCTTTCCTGCTCACTGGCTGGAAGCAGGTTAAAAATAGCTCGGCCCTCCTGCCTGCTCCGAGATTCCTGTGGCGGCCCGTGCCCGGGCCTGTGCTGCCCAGAGCTCCCAGCGCTGCCGGCTGCCCCACGCTCGGCCGGGGCCGAGCTCCGGGACGTGCCATGCCCCGCAGGGCGCTCTGTGCCCCTCTGCGCAGCCAGAGGTGGGGGGGCGAAGCCTTGTGGGCTGCAGCCTGGCACGCTGTGACTCACCCCCCGAGGGCTGCGGCTGGCTGGGCTCTGAGCTGCCTCCTGTGCTTCCTTCGCACCCTGCTGCCCAGCAAGGGACCAGGCGGCCTGGCACCACGGGCAGAGCCCTGGGAGAACAGCCCTGAGCAGAGGGTCTACCGGAGCCGAGGGACGGGGCTGCCCCTCATTACCGTCCAGACAGATCCCTGTGCCTTCCAGGTATGCTGCCCAAAATGGCACCTTCCTGGTGCTGTGCCATCGCTCCCGGAGCCTGCTCCCCCACGGGGCCCCACCAACGCCATTGCACAGGCTGCGTGTTACTGCTTGGGGGCCTGGGCGTCCTGCAGGGCAGGGTGCAGTCCGGGGCCCCGGGCCCCTCACCCGTGGGCGGGCTGGGACTGGGTGCATGCAGCGCCACGGCTGGGCCACTGCCTCAGCCTGCCGTCCCCGACACTGGCAGGGCCTGCGCCCAGTGGAGCAGAACGTCCGTGAGCCCCTCCCCATTGGTGCCAAGGGGGCTGGTCTCCCCCCGGGGCTCTGTGCCCAGCGGCTTGCAGCCCAAAGCACCCGTTGGGTCCCCTCCGCCCCTGTCCCTGGGTGAGCCAAGGTGCCCTCAGGCTGCAGATCCCAGCCTCCACCCGCATGGATTCCTGCTGGCTGCCACCCTCACGGGCCAGGCCTGGGTCTCCGCTGATGGGGCCGTGCCACTTCGGCAGCCCCACAGGCCTGTGGCCATGGGCTCGTCCCAGCGATGGGCCAGGCCCGGCCCAGGAAAGGGGCTGGCTGGGACCACGGAGGCCTGTCTCTGGCCAGAGTAGCACCCCGGGTGGGTCTGCAGACCCCGGCCTGGAGATGCCCCCTTGTGGGGAGGTGGCAGCTGCCCAGCAGAGCTGTGGGGCGAGGCCTGGGCTGAGCTCAGTGGCTGCGTCCAGCGCAGTGTGTCAGGTGGGGGCCCTGGTGTGGGGTGATGAGACCAGGGCCAAGGGCCCTGGTACCCCGGAGCTACCCCCTCCCACCTGGGAACAGCTCCCTGTGCCCAGAGCCTGTGGCGCCAGGGGGCAGGGATGAGGGGAGCCCCTGCCCAGCAGACAGTTCCCCCTTGAGTCCCATCCCCTCTCATTTCCCCCCATCCCTTGTCCCCAGCCTGCCTCTGCCCCAAGGAGCTGCTGGTGCAGGCCCCAGCCCTTGGTGCTGGCCCCACTGCCTGCGGGCGGAGGCTGGGGCAGGCCGAGCCCCACAGGGGCCTGGCACCAGCTGAGGATAAAATGGACAGGAGTCTATACGTGCTGCCCCGAGGGAGCTGGCATCCCCCTGCCCTAGGCTCTGCCCAGCATGGCATTGCCCCCAGCCGGACTCCTCCCTGCCTGAGCTGGGCCAGGCCAGCTTAGCAGCCCCAGGTCTCTTGGTGCCCGCAGGTGGAGCTGGCCCGGCTGGCTGAGGAGAGCGCGTACTTCGGGGCGCTGGCCCGCTCCCAGATGCAGGAGGCTGCGGAGGGGCGGCTGGTGCTGGAGCACGTCCCATCGGGCGCCTTCCGCGCCATCCTGGAGTTTGTCTTCCTGGGGCACTTCGGGCTGGGCGAGGAGGAGCTGCTGCCCGCTGTCCAGGCTGCCAGTTACTTGCTGGTGCCCTCCTTCCTGGAGCAGTGCTGGCTGGCCCTGCGCCCCCTCCTGCGCCCCCACAACTGCCTGTCCTACCTGCGCTTTGCCGAGGCCATCGGCTGCCCGGAGATGCGGGCCGTGTTGTGCCAGTACCTGAGCACCCAGCTCCTGGAGGTGGCGCCCGTCACGGGGCAGCTGGCCCCGGCGCTGCAGGAGGAGCTGGCAGGGCTCCGGACGCGGGGCCCTCAGCAGCTGTGTGTGCTCCGCAAGGAGAACCTGAGGGCCCCGGCCACCCCCGACATGGAGCCCCTGCGCGGCCTCTACTGCCTCCCCCTGGGCCAGGGGGGCCCCTGGCGCCGGGCCACCGGGCTGCCCTTCCGGGCTGACAAGTGGAACTTCAGTACCGCCCAGCTGCTCAACTACCTGTTCCTCATCGGCGGCTACCGGGAGCGCCGCGGGGCCCGCGGGTTCGCCTTCCGCATGGCAGCCTTCCGCTACAACCCGCTGGCCGGCTGCTGGCAGCCCACTGCCCCGCTGCTGAAGGTCAGTGCCCCATGCCCTGGTACCCCCCCGCTACTGCTCCCTCACCCACCGCTGGCAGCCCCCTACCCCGCTGCTGAAGGTCAGTGCTCCGTGCCCTGGTACCCCCTGTCACGGAGTCCCCGGGCGATGCTCGGGAACTGCTCCCTACAAAGCCACTCAGGACTCTGGTGAAGTCTCCTCGCTCTGAGCAGACTGTCTTCAGGGCAAGCAGCTCACACGGCTTCACCTTCCTGGGTCTGACCTTGGAGCATTCAGCATCCTCTGCCCCTCCGTGCACTTCCCACAGCGAGTCCGCCCTGGCTGGGTCCTGGGGAAGCCAGAGGACCTGCACGCACCCCCCCTTCGCAGTCAGACGTGACTCTCAGCCAGCCAGTAAGCCAGGGGTTTATTAGATGACAGGAACACAGTCTAAAACAGAGCTTGTAGGTACAGAGAACAGGACCCCTCAGCCGGGTCCATCCTAGGGGGCAGCGAGCCAGACACCCCCATCTGCACTCACCCCTCATCCCCAGCCAGCTCCAAACTGACTCTCTCCAGCCCCTCCTCCTCTGGGCTTTGTCTCTTTCCCAGGCTAGGAGGTCACCTGATCTCTTTGTTCTCCAACACCTT